CATATGCAGAAGTAAAACTGTCCCTCTATTTTAGACAGAGGCTGAGAAAAACAGAACTGAAAGGGAAGCACCAGTTTTGTGTTTCTCACTATCCTGAGCAGAATCTGCTTGTTGTCTTCTAAGACACGGGGCTCTGTTATATTGATCAGATGATCGTGCAGACACACAAGACACTAAGTGAAAAAACACTCATTAAGTAAAGGGTTTATAAGAGAGGCATTAGAGTCGCTGCCGAAAGCAGACTCACTATATAATCAGAGCAATTATCTGAGTGTGAGCTTCATCTTGGACAACACTGATACCATGACTAGAGTCTTAAAACAACCCGCATCACAGATGTGAGACTGAAAATGTGTGTGCGCACACACACACACACATGCACCTGTATACAAAGTTAAGAATATCAAGTAAAGAAAGTAAAGATGAATACCAATACACATACTTCAGGCAGGGGTGTCAGAAGAAAACATGGGGAGGAGACAGATATAGATAATTTTAGGGAAGTTTTAGAATATCATGGAAGAGTGCATAAACATTCTAAATCCTGAATGGGGATCTAAATTCCTGAAGGGGGAATGAAAACAGTTAAAAGGGGGAAAGAAGGCAGTCAAAAGGAGGCCAGCAGTTTCCTTTCCCTGATTCTTGGTCCACTAAGGTAAATTCCTGTCACCACAGCTGGAAACCTCACCTGCTGCCCAGCCTTCCCTGCCCTGATTGCCTCCACCCCCTAAATCTTAAGCCACCATAAACTGTTTCTCTCTTACATGGCTTTCTGTACGGTATCTGGTCAAAGAAACAGAAAAAAAACAATACACTAAGAAGTTCCATTTTTAAAATTTATTCTCTCAGATATTACATCCCAACTGCAGTTTCCCCTCCTTCCTCTCCTTCCAGTCCCTTCCTCCAAAACCCACTCCCCCATCTACTCCTCTCGTTTCTTTTCAGAAAAGGGCAGGCTTCCCAGGGTGATGGGGAAGAGTCTTCTGTTTTGTGTTAATTTCATTGGTTAAATAAAGAGACTGCCTTGGCCCTTTAATAGGACAGAAAATTAGGTAGGCAGAGTAGACAGAACAGAATGCTGGGAAAAAGAAGCTCAGTCAGTCAGTCGCCATGATTCTCTCATCCGACACAGACACAGGTTAAGACAGGTTAAGATCTTCCCTGGTAAGACACCTCGTGGTGTTACAGGGATATTAGAAATGGGTTAGATCAATATGTAAGAGCTAGCTAATAAGAGGTTATAACTAATGGGCCAGGCAGTGTTTAAAAGAATACAGTTTCTGTGTAATTATTTTGGGGCATAAGCTAGCTGTGCAGGAGCTGGGCGGCAGGAATGGAGCCCGCCGCTCCATTTACTACACCAGGGACATCAACTAAACATGGCATATCAAGGTGCAGCAAAACTTAGCACATCCTCTCATATTAAGGCTGGACAAGGTAATCCAGTATGAGGAGTGGGGTCCTCAAAGGAGGCTAAAGCTTCAGAGACAGTTGGGCTCCCACTATCAGGAGTCTCACAAGAAGACCAAGCTCTATAATTGTTACATATGCAGAAGACCTATGTCAGACCCCTACAGGCTCCCTGGTTGGAGGTTCAGTCTCTGTAAGCTTCCAAGAGCCCAGGCTGGTTTATTCTGTGGGTTTTCTTGTGCTGTCCTTGACCCCTCTGGCTCCTCCAATCCTTCCTCCCCATCTTCAATAGATTTTCCCCAAGCTCTGTCTAGTGTTTGGCTGTGGGTCTCTGCATCTGTTTTCATCAGTTGCTGGATGGAGCCTCTCTGATGATTATGCTAGGCAGAATATATTATGCTATAGCAGAATATCATAAGGAATCATTTCATTGATTTTTTTTTTTTTTTGCTCGGTGTGTTTGGTTCTATCTTAGGTTTCTGGGCTATCGGACTATCTAGCCACTGGTTCCTGGTCCTCTACACAGTGTCAAGCATAAGTTCTCAATCATGGCATGGGTCTTATACTGAACCAGCCATTGAATGGCCACTTGCACAATTTCTGTGCCACTTTTGCCCCAGCAAGCAGGAAAAATTGTAGGTTGAATGTTTTGTGGCTGGGTTTGTGTTCCAGTCCCATCACCAAAAGCCTTGCCAGGTTATAAGAAATGGCCAGTTCAGCCTCTGTACCCCTCCCATTTCAAGGAGTCATGCTCACAGATTCCTGGGAGTTTCCATTGTACTGGGTTTCTATTTTTCTCCTGAAATGCCCTCAATTCCAGTTATCTCTCCCAGTCCTCTCTCCCTCCTCCCTTGATCTCCCCAATCAGCATCTCTGCCTCTCTCACATACACAAACACACACTCACACACATATTAGAGTTCCCAATTTGACTTGAAAAGTACTAGGTTTTGTTTTGTTTTGTTTTCTAGACAGGGTTTATCTGTGTAGCCCTGGCTGTCCTGGAACTCATTCTGTAGATCAAGCTGGCCTTGATCTCAGAGATTCATCTGTGCCTCTGCCTCACAAGTGCTAGGATTTAAAATGTGCACCACCACCTCCCAGCCTAAAATTTTATTCTTAAGCCTGAAAAAAGAAAATGTCAACCAGCATGTGGCTAGTGTTATTAAAAACAAAAAAGCTTGACTCGACGTGGTAACGCACCTGTAACCCCAGTGCTCAGGATGGAGAAGCAGAATGATGTTACAGACAAGCTAGCACTACGCTAGAAAACCCTGACTTTAAAAAGCCAAACGCACACCCAAACAAGCATATGCTAAGCCACTATTCAATTACAAGAAACATTTGGGGGAAAGACAAGAAGATAAAATATGACCCACAATATGTGAATATGACCCACAAGTTGTTATACAGTATGTTTTCCCAAGCCCTTTACTGTTTTGACACAACCTCATTGCCATCTGGGAACATTTGGGAATGGAGACTAAGGGGCCAGTGATGTACCACAGAAAGGAGACTGCTTTCTTAGTGTACCCTAGGCCCTGGCTTCAATCCCTAGCAATGCATAAGACAGCAAGGTGGCTCACATCTGCAATGCCAATGTTTGGGAGCTGGAAGAAGGAAGATCAGAAACTCAGTCATTCTCAGCTACATCTGAATTTTGAGGACAGCCTGTGCTACATAAGGCCTTATCTATAAAAAGAAGATAAATAGAATGCCAGCTGGGAAGCAAGAGGACAATGTGGACCCAAGAAGAACTCCTGTCCAGCCTTGCCACTCACCAGCCATGTGAACACATGATCTTGAGGGTAACTCCCACCACTCCAAAGATGGCTCTTGATGGAGCTAACTTCAACACTAATATCATGTGGGACCATTGTAATATATAGGCTAATAAACAACTGGCAATGTCTGCATATAATTGTGTATATAATGAATGCCATCTTTATTATTTTGGCACAAATTAATATTCAAATTGAGTTTGAATATTAATTTGATCCCACCCATACTCATTCAGAGGGAAAATATGCTCAACAGGAGATTCAATAAATACCAGCCCAAAATGCAGATTTGCAAATAAGTCACGATACTTTCTCTCTAAAAACTAAACTATTTTAGATGTGAATCATTCTTCCCAGGCTGAAGAAACTTGAAGAGCCTAGAATTATTATTATTTATTTATTAAAGATTTCTGCCTCCTCCCCGCCACTGCCTCCCACTTCCCTCCCCCAATCAAATCCCCCTCCCTCGTCAGCCCTAAGAGCAATCAGGGTTCCCTGCCCTGTGGGAAGTCCAAGGACCACCCACCTCCATCCAGGACTAGTAAGGTGAACATCCAAACTGCCTAGGCTCCCACAAAAAGCCAGTACATGCTGCAAGAGCCTAGAATTAAAAAAGAAAAAAAAAATTGGTCCTCCCCTATCAGCTGCTCATCATCTGGATATATTTTCTAAACTAATTTTATTGCCACCTTGCCACCAGATCCTAGATCTTGGTTAGATTTGACCAAACAACATCCCTTATCTCAGGCTCTCCCAGGCAAAAAGAAAAAATGGCCGCCTGGAGGTCTCTAGTAGCAATCGGAAGTATTCTTGCCCGGTTTCCCAGGGGACCTCTATGTAAATCTGGTATAGTGGTACACACCTGTAATCTCAGCACTTTGGGAGTGAAGGCAGGAAGATCAGCTCAAGGCCAGCCTGGTCTAGAGATCCCGTCTCAAAATCCAAGACAAATAAACAAAAATTACTTAATACAGACAATGGAGCAAGGCAGAACCTCCAGGATGCCTTTCTACACAAGTGTCAGCCAGGGATTTCTCTCTGCTTCAGCTGGAACCCCCAGAGAACCACTTAATTTGATCCTATGATTTTTCTCTTTTCAAAGACTCACTAAGAGTCAGGTCTCTGGCATTGGCTCAGGGCATTTGCACTTGAGCTATTTACAAATAAAACCTCACAGCCCAATTTACTTCTTCTTGCTTATTATGTCTTCCCAGTCATCTCCCCAGACTCTTTCCATCTCTAGGAAGGGAATGTGGTTATTTATCCCCATACTCCTCCTAATAACCATGCATGCTCAAAAAAATCTAACTTGGGACTATAAGATGGCTCAGGTATTAAGAGCATTTTTTTTTTCAAAGAACTAGGTTCAGTTATCAGCACCCACAAACTCCAGATTCAGGAAAGTTGAAGCTCTCTTCTGACCTCTGTGGGTAGCCGGGGACACATGTGATAAACATGCATGCATTCAGGCAAAATATTCATACACATAAAAATAAAATAAATACAACTTTAAAAATATATCCAAGTGATGTTTGGCAAATAAATGAATCGATAAGCAGAGATCTTAAAATTTTATTACCATTTTTCCTATTTGCTTAAACAAACCAACACATTACAGAGTTGACTAAAAGTATTAACACAACTCAAAGATTAACCATTGAATAGTTTCCCTACATTTTCTCAAAATCTGGTATAGAACAGATGTAAGTAATCAAAAACTTGCATTGCAAAGGAAATGTACCACACTTTCAATTACGAAGATGAGCACTGAAAAAAAAACACCTAAAGAGAAAACAGATGAACCAATTATCATCATCTAGAACCAGAACACAAAGTTGCGCTATAGTGTGTTCTCCGCATGCCCAGACTAACGTTGACATTCTCCCCCTTACTTAAAATTTTGACTGTCCCTTTTAAAATCAGTAATTGGGTTGCCCCATGTTGTTATCAAAATGGTACTAATCCTCCATGGGGCCATTTCTGGAGCCCTCATCTCTCAATGCCTGATTATATAAAGATGAGAAATACATTGGTTCTCTCCTTGTAAATTTGGTCAAAAATTCAAGAACTTTCATCTTGGTGGTTTCAGAGTAGGCTCTTGGACCCCACAGGAACACATAACGTGGAGGATAACTCTCAGGCACCTGCTTATATTTCAGATAATTTTGCTGCACTAAATCTCTAGTGAGGAACTCCCTGGGCTCCCCATAAATGAAATGCTCCTTCCCATCATATATTCCTAACATATTCAGGAATTCCCACATGCTTTCTTCAGAGGCACAGTCCCCCTCTATGAATATTACACCCAGAATAACTATAAGGAAGGCGTTTCTAGGCAACCTCTTGTTGTGGTCATCATATGTGAGGTTCAGTGTGTTGGTAAGCACGTACGAGCTGCTTACAGGATCATCTTTCTTTATATCAATGCCAAAAATCATCTCTAAGCACTTAGAAGCTTCCTCAAAGATGGCAGGGAATTGTTTCTTGTGGTCTTTGGTGACAACCCCGAGCATTTCCATTTCCTGGATAGGTTCTTTCATTCTATATTTCAGGAGCAGGAGATTCACCAGTTCAGTGACCTTTTGCTTTTTGAGATTTTGCCATACGGAAACATCGTCTGTCAACTTGGAAGTGTTTAAACTCTCTTCTTCCGGGCTGCCATATTCTTCAACTAAGTTGATATATGAAGTAAAGGAGTAAGAGCTCTGGTAACTCTGTGAAATTCTCAGCATCCAGGTAACAGACTCTTCTGCCTCATCTGGATTGCTCCAATACAGAGGACATGATGAGGAAGTGGAAGGTGAGGAAGCACAGGAGGGCAAAGTGAATCTTAAAGAGGCAGATGATGTGGACAAGATGCTGTCGCTATAAGTAGCTGCCCTTGCCTCCTCGGCCTCATCTTCATCCTCCTCCTCTTCCTTTTCATCCTCTTCCTCCTCTTCCTCCTCATCCTCTTCCTCCTCTTCCTCCTCATCCTCTTCTTCCTCCTCCTCCTCTTCCATTTCTTCCTCTTCCTCCTCTTCTATTTCTTCCTCTTCTTCCTCTTCTTCCTCCTCCTCCTCCTCCTCCTCTTCCTCCTCCTCCTCCTCCTCAGCTAATCTATATATTTCAAAAGCATCCTGGAAAAGTTTCCAGAGGCTGAAGTGTGGATAGTATGGCATGATGAATCTGGCTGGAGATGGTAGGCTGGAGTATAAAGCAGGACGGAGGGTGAGTGGGGAGAGGGAAAAGTATTGTGAGTGGCCCAGCTAAAAAAATCTCACCCCCCCATGAGTCTAACAAAAGTATACTTACAAAACTTCTTTATAGGTGATTGTCTCAGAGCCCTGCTAGCCGGCTGCTTTCCTTGTTGTGTGTCCTACTGGAACCTGAAGAGGGATATGAGTAAGGTCCTCAGCATATTGGCAACTGGAAGATTCTAGGGCCCCACAGTAAGGTATGTGTCTGGGTACTTTGGGAACTCCCTTGGTTCTGGGCTTTGGGTAGTGACCTTGGTGCCCTTTCAGGGTGTGCTTCTCACCTTGACTACTTGACTCCCTGGGACTTTTCTATGTTGTCATTTGAGGGGAGATGACTCTCATTAGAACCCTCAGCTCAATTTCTGATTGACAGCTCTGGAAGATGAGCTGAGAGGACCTTCCACACTGAAGACTGCATAAAACCTGAACTACTCAATGTAGCTAGAAATCCCTAATTCCAGGAGGGCCCCCATTGAGTTTACTTTTATTCTAGAAGGTTTTAGATCCTACTCAGCTGTTGGACTGAGACAACCCCTAAGGATAACACCTCACATTCCCGAGACAAAGAAGAAGAAATAAGGGAACCCCACCCTAAGTATTATCTGTCAAGGGCCTTTCCCACATGCTAGCCAAGAGCACCAAACTCTTGTTTCCATCTCCTAAATAAGAGATGTACTCATTTCTCAATCTGAACCCTCAGAGCCTGGGGTTATACCTCTGCTGGCTGTAACAACTGCTTCTGTGTTACTCTTGGTACAGTTCGCATACCACTGTACCTGCCATATGCGAGCTGGGCAAGGGCCTGGAGAATGAAAGGACACAACACAAGAGACCTAGGTTATTCAAAAGAAGATCAGCCAAATGCTATTTATTCAAACTTAGAGAAAACCTTAAATACCTACCTGCTGCACAATGGAATGCCCCCCAGGCAGGTGGGAAATTACCACGCCCAAGGTGGAGTCAACAAGGCCAAATAGCTAATTACCAGGCAGGGCAGAGGGAGCACAGGAACAAACAGGATGTTTTAGCTGACTGACCAGAAACTGTCCTCAAAATGAAGCCCGGGTGCAGGGGTAGACCCATGGGCCCTACATCTGGCCACAGTTTGTTCCTCTGAGCAATGCTTTGAGATCACAAAGTTAGAGAAGATGGTGTACCATATCCCTCGGGGAATCCACAAGCTGACAGCGTGGGAAAGGAAGTAAGGGGGGAGGGAGGTTGTACCCTCAGTTCTCACTCAGAATCATTATCTTAACTCCTGGTGGTCCCGGACTCCTTGCTACTCGGACCTGACCTATCTCCTCATCATACTATTGTCTCTTCAGACCAAGTTCCTCAATCCCCTGAGAATTCAAGACAACACAGAAAAGGTACTAGACTCCCCTTCTCGGCTAAAGTCACAGACTTACACAAAGGCTTTCCTTCACCTCCCTGGCAACACTACATAGAAAACTAAAATGGCATCAAATTCAATGACACGTGTCCCGGGTCTGTTGAGAAAGGACATTCACCTTTACTGTTTAGCAAGGCCTGCCTCAGTCTCCTTTGACCTGAAGTGTGTCTGTTTAACCAAGACCTCACCATCCTGAAACACTATAGTTCCTAGGCTCTTTGGAGAGCTTGTGGCAGAAGTCAGACTCCATTCCATTAGAACACCACAAGCTATACCTTCCTTGGGCTGGAAAAAAAGTTGAGTTAGATTCTACAAGATTCCTTTCCTGAATCCCATTCCATTCAGAATGGGAGAAGGGAAAAGTAAGGTAGAGAAAAATGAGTCTTCTTCCATCCTCACCCGGGACCTTCAACTTGATGCCCAGCAGAGTCAGGGACCCATCTCTACACTGACTAGCCCTCACAGAATGTCACCCCGTCAGATCAAAGACCCTCGCACCTCATCCAGAAAGAAGATGAAGAGACACATCTGGCAACCCTTGCCTGAAAGATCCTAAGGTTTACAGCAGAAACCTGTTTAGTGCAGGGCCACCTCACTCAGAGCAATATTTATATTATCACCATGGTTCTTTCTCTTCCTATGTTGATAGCAAGAGAGGGTTTCTTTTTTTTTCCCCTGATGCAACTAAATTAGCCTTGATAAAATCTGGGAACTCCTTTGCAAAGGTTCCCAGGTGATCTTTGACAAATGTCGTCTTTGTTCCCTGAGAACCAAGTCAAATTTGTGAAGCATGGCCAAGTCTTGTACTTCTGTCTAGGGTCTCCCAGGGTTGACAGCTGACAGACCCCATGGTTTTAATGAGAGGAGGAGCTGCACCCTCCATTCTCCCTCAGGCTATGTATTTTGCTCCCTGATATCAAAGCCTCACTTTCAGGAGACAAATTTCTTCAATTTCCTGTAGAAATGACAAAGCACATCTAGCCACTATTGCCCATATCTTGAATGCACAATAGAGTTTTGGAGGGCCTCTTATAGTTCTACAATAGTAAGAACTGTAAGCCATCCTCAAAGGATTTAGGATTTATATTTACTCCTGGCAAAGCCATATACTGCCTCTATTCTGTTCATGTGAGGATGCCTTCCTTAGTCCAAAGTTCCCATCTCTTTCATATACCATTTTCAAAAAAAAAAAAAAAAGAAGAGATAAGAACTCTGCTTGAGCCTGGACCGTCTCTGGACCAACATTACAAGTTGGTGTCTGCAAGGCTCTCACTATCTGTTATGTGTAGTCTCCTCATTCTTGTCCCCAAGTACTCTCAAGCTTGAAGCCTATCCAGACTCCTGAAAGGAGCCTAGCCTCCTCAGAAAAACCCACGGATTCCTTCCAAGATCAAAGTCTAAATACCAAACCCCAAAAGCCAGAATAGGCACCTTAAGGCTAACAGCAAAGGTCACAAGGCTTTCCATATTGATATTCGGAAGCCCTGTCACTCCTCCAGATTCTTCATTTCAATGCCTGGCGACACCAGCCCACTTCCCTTTGCCGAGTGAAACTAAGGTCCCTGGGGCAAGAAGTCAAAGAGGCTCCTCCAAATCCAGTAAAACTCTGCCCCCTCAATCACACTTCTCAGAACATGGGGCCTGTGGGGAGTTCTATCCCTCCTCCTGACAATGCATGACCCAGCACTGAACCCTCCTCCAGAAGAGCCACTTCAGGAAAGCCACCCTTCCCTCAACCGTCCTTGGTGAAACCCAGGAAATGACAGGACCCACAAGCCCTGTCCCTCTCTAAAGCAACCTAGGGACAAAACAGGGCACCAGTTATCAGTAGGGAGAGGAAGGGTCCCGCCCTTCTCTCAGCGGGGGTCGAGACCACTAGCGGCAGGTCCACAAACCAACGTGGCTGGTCCCGAGCCACGTGGCGGCTGACTAGTACCCTGCTAGAGGTGTGGGCGGGCGATGGGTGGAAGGCAGAAGGCGCAGATGCTGCGAGTCTCCAGGACTGCTGGGGACCCGAAAGCAGACAGTCTAGGAGACCTTGCGCGGCAGGGAAGGTGGCTAGTCCCCGGTGGCGACAAAGGGTTAGGCAGCGGGTGGGCAAAAGAGTCGGATAGGCACATCGTGTAGAGTAAACCTGGACATTTATGAGGTGGGTTATGGTGGGGAAGGGGAGAAGGGGGAGGAGAAGGAGAGACAGAGAAATGGGGAGAGAGGCAGAAGCCGCCTCTTCAAGAGAGGGATCGGAAGAGAGAGCTCAGCCAGGAAGCTGAAGATCACCCTGCCTCAGTGGATGGGGGAGGGAGTGGGCGTGGCTTGTCTCTTAAAGAGACAGAACAATTATTACACACCACACGGAATTTGGAACTTGGGGACGATTAAGACATGACCCTACCTGGACCCTATTGGTAGATTTGATGAGGAATCATCACGTTCCCCGGGGGAGGGGAGAAAAGGAATTCCAGCTACCCCTCAAAGTTATCCTGATCAGCAACAACCAGCAATGTTTCTCAAGGCCGGAACCCTCCCTCTCTGAACCAAGTCGAGGCCCTTTGAAACAGCAGGCCCTCTCCTGAGCAGCCCAACCCTTGTGGAAATCTGGAAACAAACCGTAGACACCCAACCAAGCTGGAGCCTCCCACCAACTGTCTGTGCAAATAGAATTAATGACCCATTTCTCTCAGGAAGGGCAAATCTCCACCCTTCCCTCGGAGTCTTCTCAAGCAAGGTTGGAAACTCCTGGAGTAGGGATGGGATGGTATATACAGTGTGGTGGTGGGATCAAAGTTAAGAGTTTCTACCCAGCAGGTTTCGAAACCTCCTGGGGAAAAACTGCTGGGACCGATAATATAGCACTCCCAACATGTGTGGGGGAGGAAAGGGTTCCAAGTCCACCAGCAGAAGCCTCCCTTTAATATGTCCAAAGGTTCCTCCTTGCCTGGAGACCAGAGTTCAGCCCTCACACCAAAAACTCACCTCTCTCCTCAATGAACAAATTCGTCAGGAGCCTTAGGCAGTATGCCCTTGAAGTGGAAAACGGACTAATCGAACTATGTCCCAGTGGGCGGGACTTCCTGGCCAATTTCCTGTCTTCCCTTAAACGATTGGCCAGGCCTAGGGCCCCGCCCTCTGTTGCTGTGAAACCATGGGCCTCAGAACACACAGAGAAAATTCTAGAAACAACTGGGCGTCAGGGACCCGGAACTCGGCACTTGTGGGAATTAGGACTGGGCAATCTGGAAGCCACGGCCAGGCAGGACTACTATTCTGTCTATCTGAAGGGAAAGGGCCCCTTTAGTCTTTCGATTCCTCACCCGATAACCCAAGAAACTTCCAAGACATACCCTAGCTAACCTATGCCTTATTCATTCAGACTTCCAAGGTAGAGGTCATAGTTCATCACACACCGGTCTGTTTACTGTGGGAGGGCGTGGCTGCAGGGTTCGCAGCCAGTAGAGAGGAGAAAGCTCATTCTAGTTTGAATCCAGGCTTTTTGCTTTGCAGTTTCTCTCTCCAGGCCTAAATTCACTGG